CTATTCCTGGTAACCATCCAAAAAGGTTGCTTTCTGTGTGTGTGTACCTAAACTTTTTTTTTTTTTAAGTTTTTATTGTGAACTGAGTGATAGTTTACCTGGGAAAACATCGGCTTTACACCATCGTTTCATTGCAATGATTACAATCTACTCTGTGCATCAACGTTCAACAATATTTGCGTCTATTCCCTGTTTTGTTTTGGGGGGGTAGTGTACACAGAAACACCCAGGAATATATAATCATTTAAACAACCTAAGGGCACATTCTGCAAGCCAACCTCCTGGTCACCTGCACTCAGCCTTTCTCTTTCCATAAGTTGAGTCCCCATCTCTGCCTCCATCTCTGGTGTCACTGCTTCTCTGGATAGGGTCCCACATTCTGCTCATGTTCTTCTCCCTTGATGGTCCTAGAGTCTCCCGTTTTTCTTTCAAAACTTCTACCTTTACACTTGTGACAGTCGCAGTTACTCATGATAACAATTACTCACTATTGAATGTATACCTATTCTTGATGGTTCTGTTCACAGCGACCCTGTTTAAGGTTTCCGAGGAGCAGCTGGTGGGTTTGAACCACCAACCTTGTGGTTAGCAGTGCAGAGCTGATCCTATAGCACACCAGCTATCTTCATAGGTGGATGGATTTACTTCTGAGCTCTCATTCCTGCTCCAATGGTCTATGTGTCTGCCATTGTACCAGTATCAGACTGTTTTTGAGTACTAAAGGCCTCAACATTTAATCTTTTCCACAGAAGCCATGGTGGTGCAGTGGTTAAAACACTTGGCCACTAACCCACCAGCAGCTCTGAGGCAGATAGATGCAACAACCTGCTTCCGTAAAGGTGACAGTGTTGGAAACCTGATGGGAGGTTCTACTCTGTCCCACAGGGTTACCATGAGCTGGAACTGACTTGAAGGCAGTGAGCAATCTTGTCAACAACCTTCTAAAGCACCTGTTCTTAGGAACCCCATTTTGCAGATAAGGAACCGGGGGGGTTAAGTGACTTGCCCAAAGTTACACAGCTCATAAGTGGTAGGAATACCAGAATTGTAACTTTGGACCCTATCTTATCACTGTTATAAAGTAAATGTGACATTTATTAAGAGGTTTACAGATTTGTGCTTACAAAGACCCAAAGTAGGCTGGCTCAGGCTCATGGAAATACAATTATACAAATCAGTACTGTTTATCGGGGTGACTGGGCTACCTGCTGATAAAGGAAATTATGACTGGGGCCCTCTTTGCAGACTTGAGCTGTCTACAGCCAATTTAACCAGCTCACTGAGGAAGGGAGCCCTCACTGTGTTCTAGAATTGCTTCTTGAAGAGTTCCTGCATGTTTGTGGATTTTGTTGCAATTTCATTAATTTGAACAAGGCTGAATTAAAAAAAATTAGGATTTGTAACTCACGCCCAGTTCTGCAGTTATTAAACCAGAGAATGTTTTTCATTTCTTAATAGTTCCTCTATTCAAAGGAGCCCCGGTGACTCAGTGGGTTAGGGTTTAGGCTGCTCACTGAAAAGGAGGCAGTTCAAACTCACCAGCTGTTCCTTGGGAGAAAGATGAGGCGATCTGTTCCAAAACAGACTTACGGTCTTGGAAACCACATATAGTGTTGCTGTGAGTTGGAACTGACTCAATGACTGTGGGGAATTTGCACTGTTCACCTAAGTCTGTATGCTACCTTCTTTTCCTGTGTCTCGTAGGGAAGCAGGCATCAGGAATTCAATGTCACTCAATCAGAAAAGCCAAGGATAATCATGAGATTGGTTTACACACTTGGGGCATATTCAAGAATCTGTATTCAACCTCAAGTGTGGTGGGAAGGAGGGTGAAGAAGACAATGTTTTAGCGGGTCTCTCTGATCCATAATGAAATTCATTTACAAAATGCCCAACAGAAACTTCAAAAAATCATGTTACAAAAAATAAACACGCTTACCAGCTGCCACTCCAAATGTAAAGAAGAGATAATGCAGGCTGGCAGCGGAGGCGCTCAGCACCCAGCCCAGAGCGTTCAGGACCCCGCCGATGATCGCTGTCCAGCGGCATCCACATGTGTTGATGAACAAGCCGATGAAAGGACCTGTCACAGAACATCCACAAAGGATTTGACTGGTGAGACTGTATTTTCATTGTTCTCAGTAAGTGCTCAGATGAAGATATAGACGAATAGAGCTGCCATGTAAACCCAAACAAACCATTACATACAAAAACCTTCCAGCATGCAACCACCCCACTTCCACTGAGTGGATTCCAACTCATGTTGTTGCTGTTATTAAGTGCCTTTGAGTCGTTCTGATTCATAGTGACCCTGTATAGGGTTTCTTAGGAGCAGCTGGTGAGTTTGAGTCACTGACCTTGCGGTCCAGTGCTTATCCTACAACGCCACACCAAGACTCATAGTGACCCTAAAAAGGATTTCAGAGGTTGTAAATTGTTATGGAAGCAGAAAGCCTCATCTTTCTCCTGCGGAGCAGCTGGTGGGTTTGAACTGCCAACCTTGTGGTTAGCAATCCAGAGCTTATCCTATAGCACAAAGATGGACTTAAATAATTTCACTGGCAAGTACAGTGTTCTAGGTTTTCACCAGTGAAATTATTCACTCTTATCCAGAACAGAAGCCCTAAACTGGAAGTCTAAAATAGACTAGCAAGAAAGGTCTGGCAACTATTTCCGAAAATTAACCAATGCAAGTCTTGTGGCTCACAACAGAATACTGTCTGGTATCACACTGGAAGATGACTCCCAAAAATTGGAAGTCTCTCAAAATACACAGCAGGTGCAGCCACCGGCTTGAGAATCCAAACAACTGTGAGGATGTTTTGTTCTGTGTCCATAACGTTACCATGAGTTGGAGGCAACTTGGCAGCAACTAACAATAAAGAAGTGAGGTTTAGAGGCTGTAGTCAACCTCTAAATGTGTTTTGTTTATCCTGGACAAAGTTTAAAAAGTGTTTTAAGAAGTAAAAAAATGCAAAGTTTTTAATCCATGGCCAACATTTAAATTTTAAGAGAGTTCACAAGAAGACCAGTGGCAACAAACTTCATTCCCACACAGCCCAAACCAGCTGGGGCTGGTTAGTGGCTGGCCCTGTTGAGCTGGGTAATGCTCTGTTTGCTTTGCCACAGTCTCCACCCTTCCCTCTTGAACCCCCATTTACCTAACTTATTTGGCCTCTGCAGACCCTGGAGTTTTTGACCTAAAGGGAGTCCACGAAGGGGCAGTTCTCAGGACTGCTGTGCTTCACGCAGGGATTCTCTAGACTTTTCATGAGGCCCCGACCCATTGTTGTCGAGCTGATTCTGGCTCAGTGACCCTATTGTTGTTGTTAAGTGCCGAGGAGTCTATTCCAACCCATAGTGACCTGTATAGGATTTCTGAGGAATGGCTGGTGAGCTTGTACCACCGACCTTGCAGTTCAAACCGACTTTGCAGTCCAGTGCATTACCCCACAGCGCCACACCAGGACTCCAGTGACCCTATGTTGCTGTTGTTGTTAGGTGCCATTGAGTCGGTACTGACTCATTGTGACATTATGCACAGCAGAATGAAACACTGCCCGATCATGGGACAACCTCACAAATTTTGTCCATCGATGCTGCCACCTGGCCAATCCATCTTGCTGGGAGTCTTCCTCTTTTTCTCTCACCCTCCACCTTACCAAACACGATATCCCTCTCCAGTGACTGGTCCCTCCTGACAATATGTCAGAAGTATGAGACACGAAGTTTGGCCATCCTGGCCTCCAAGGAGCACTCTGGCTGCACTTCTTCCAAAACGAATCTATTGGTTCTTTTGGAAGCCCATGGCACTTTCAATAGTCTCCTCCAACACCATAACTCTAAGGTATCAATTCTTCTACGGTCTTCCTTATTCACTGTCCAGCTTTCGCATGCATATGAGGTTACTGAAAATACCAGGGCTTGGGTCAGGCGCACCTTAGTCCTCAAGCTGACATCTTTGCTCTTCAACACTTTAAACAGGTCTTGTGCAGCAGATTTGCCTAATGCAATACGCCATTTGATTTCTTGACTGCTGCTTCCATGAGTGTTGATAGTTGATCTAAGAAGAATAAAGTCCTTGACAACTTCAATCTTTTCTCCGTTGATAAGAATGTTGTTTATTGGTCCACTGGTGAGGATTTTTGTTTTCTTTACATTGAGATGCAATCCATACCGAAGGATGTGGTCCTTAATCTTCATCAGTAAGTATTTTAAGTCCTTTTCACTTTCAGCAAGCAAGATTGTATCATCTGCATATCGCAGGTTATTAATGAGTCTTCCTCCAATCCTGATGCCACATTTTTCTTCATATGACCCAGCTTCTCGGATCATTTGCTCAACATACAGGTTATATAAGTATGATATATAAGTATGAATACAGGTTATATAAGTATGAATACAACCCTGGCACACACCTTACTTAATTATAAACCATTCAGTGTTCCCATGTTCTGTTCAAACAACTGCCTCTTGGTCAATGTACAGATTCCTCAAGAGCACAATTAAGTGTTCCGGAATCCTCATCCTTTGCATTGTTGTACAGAGCTTGTCATGATCCACACAATGGAAAGCAACGATCCTCTAGGACAGAGTAAAACTCCAGGATGGTAACTGTTTACAGAAGCAGACTGCCTCCTCTTTCTCCAACGGAGAGGGTGGTGGGTTCGCACCCCCAGCCTTTCAGTTAGCATTCCAATGCTTAACCTGCCTCATCACCAGAGGTCCTACTTCAAGATGAAAGGAACTTTTTTTTTTTGAGGCCCCTTGTATTTCAATTTAAAATTTGCTGAATTCTACAGAGATTTCCCTTTTTAGACTAAACTGAAATTAAAGTTTAAAGTTCCAATTATGTTCACACTCATTTGAGTACACAGTGAGTTTCACTTAGTAATGCAATTATCCTTGTTGTATTACAGAAAATAATTCAGTAGATAAATCTCTTGAAAATAGGCATGCTACCGTTGTTGTTATGAGGTGCTGTTGAGTTGGTACTGACTCACAGCGGCCTTAGCACAATGGAATGAAACAAGATAGGCTTAAATGGATTAAATATGTTCTACCTATGGAGTCCTGGTGTGGTGCTATGGGTTAATGCACTAGACTGAAAAGTCAGTTTGAACTGCAAGGTTGGTGGTTCAAGCTCACTAGTCGCTCCTTGGAAACCCTCTAGAGGGTCGCTATGGGTTGGCACTTAATAACAACAACAACCTATGGAGTCCTGGTGTGGCGCTATAGGATAAGCACTTGAGTAAAAGGTCGGTTTTATCTGCAAGATGGGTGTTTCAAACTCACTAGTCATTCCTTGGAAACCCTACACAGGGTCGCTATGAGTCGGAACACAATAATAACATATCATATGTACCACATATTATATACTTATACAATTGTCAGGAGGGACCAGTCACTGGAGAAGGAGATCATGCTTGGTAAGGTGGAGGGTCAGAGAAAAAGAGGAAGACCCCCCAGAGAGATGGATTGGCCAAGTGGCAGCATCGATGGACTCAAGCGTGGCAACAATAGTGAGGTTGGCCCAGGATCGGGCAGTGTTTCATTCTGCTGTGTATAAGGTCGCTATGGGTCGGTACCGACTCAATGGCACCTAAAAACAACAACATGACATACAAAGATACAATATTTACATTAAATACATAATACATCACCAATTTGTAACACATAAATGACCTAGCATATATTACTTATGCATTACAAATACTTCAAGTATTTATATATTGTCAAAGCAGCACATTATATAAATAACATAATAAGCACACAGATACAGCCATCTAAAGGAATTGCTGGTAGAAACTGAAATTCAGGAGCAATCAGTTGATGTTGGTTCTCTGACTCTTACAATGATTTTTATTTTTCTAATGGCCAGTTGTTCCCATGATGCTCTGATGAGTGGGTTAAAGGAGAAAAATGCATGACTCACTGTTTGCTGTTAATGGCCCTTTTAAGAGAGGAAAGGTCAGTAGGTCACAATTCAGTAGCATGATCATATTTTCCACTTCACAGAAAGGGGTCTGAAGCAAGATATCCTGAAAGACTGAATGTTTATGTAACCTTACATTAAAAGACATTTAATGAAAAAAAAGGAGGTGGTGGGAGGGATTCCCAAGTTAGTTGATGCAATTGTTCCAGTCTAGAGGAATTGTAGGAGTCCTGGTGTGGCGCTGTGGGCTAATGTGCCAGACTGCAAAGTCATTTGAACTGCAAGGTCAGTGGTTCAAGCTCACCAGCTGCTCCTCAGAAACCCTATACAGGGTCGCTATGGGTCAGAATTGACTCGACAATGCTCAACAACAACAACAACAAGAGAATTGTAGGAGACCTAGTGTGATGCTACAGGATAGGCACTCGACCTCAAGGTCAGTTTGAACCACAAGGCCGGTGGTTCAAATTCACCAGCCGCTCCTTGGAAACCCTACACAGGGTCGCTATGAGTCAGAACCGACTGGACGGCACTTAACAACAAGAGAAGTTGTAAAGGAGCCCTGCTGGTGCAGTAGGGTTAAATATTGAGCAGCTAGCCACAAGGTCAGTGGTTCAAACCCACTGGCCAATCCATAGGAGAAAGACTTAGTATTAGAAAGTCTCGGCGGCAGTTCCCCTCTGTCCATAGGATCCCTATGAGTTGGAACGGATCCCATGACAGTGGGTTTGGGATCGGGAGGAACTTGTGTATCATAAAGACGGTATGAATTGCTTTACTGATACAAACATTACTTCGGTAAGAGTGTCTGGCTCTCACTTGGTGAAACACTTAGGATTCACAGACCCAGAAAGGCCGACACTCCCACTGTCCCTACTCTCTTGTCAAAACTCTTCTTTAACTACAAAATAAAAAATTAAAAGTCCAAACTTTGTGACAGTTTCATTTTCTAACCACTGTTTACTGCTTGGCAGCTAGTATCTCCTAGACCCCAGTGCCATTTCAACAAAATGAAAAGAATAGTTAGGATCACACATCTGAACCTAAGAGCACCAGCCCCCTCTCACCATGGAAGGAGAGGGTACACTTTATCAAGCATTTCCCTCTTCAGAAGGCATCGGAATCTTGGCCCATTTCCCATGTAACAA